AGAGCAGCCAAACACTATTGTATAATAATTCATTTTACATAGCTGGAGAGAAGGGACTTAATTTTAAACTCAATGCAGTGATTGTCCTGTTGATCAACTTACATGGCATAAAGGTGTCTACTTTGAAACCTTCAGCTAAAAACATCTTTCAAGAACTCTTTTATTCATTATAAATGCAAGTAAAATTAGACCCTGGAATAAGTGCCATACAGTTTAGCTATTAATACAATCAATTAAAACATCAATATTAACTGCAGTAACAGTAATGAGGTACCACATTCTTCATGTGTTTCTCACTAGGTGCTTATTTTTTCAGAAAAGCCTCCTGTCCCCTCAGAAATTCTCCATCACCCTGTAGCTACTTTTATTGCCAATTAATTGGTAATTGGATCCAAGAAATGCTGCTTATGACTCACATACCTAGAATATAGTGATCTAAAACTAAAACACAACTGGAAAAGTTTTAATTGCTCTATATTCATTTTAATTAGGCTAAATCTTAGAAAATAAGGTGGATGCTTGGCCAATAGGTCCTTCTTGAGACCTGAGATTAGATTTCTCAGGAAATATTCTAAATATTCTAGTTTCTTTTAGTCCTTTTAAAACAATAGTATTCCTGTGATTTATGTTTCTCCTCTAAGAACACCTGCTCTCTATTCAGCATTAAAAGTACCTGTCACCTTGAAAACTAGCATCCAGCTTTTTGAGTAATCTCCAATGAAAGGTATTTTCTTGCTGCCCCACAAGAAGTCACCTGCACAGCTTCGTGCGTGGGCTGCTAGAAATAAGGATATAAAAACGTAAGAGTCTCTGTACTCAAAAAGGGAAAATAATACTTCTATCTCTTCTTCAGTGGCAAATCTAGAAGCTGTAAACAACCGATGCTGTTCTTAAAGCTTGCACCTATAGTTTCACTACTTTGTCAGCTCCTCTTGTACATATTCCAAAGAGGCCATATCTGTTGATTTTGAATGCCATATGTAGCAAGAGAATGACACATCTTAAAGGGGTTACTGATGACATCTGCCTTCAAGGTGGCTAGTGCTGGTAACTTGGAATCATCTCTTTTGGCACAAGTCTACACAATGAATATGTGGAAGTCTCCAGGATCTTTTGAAATGCTAAATACATAAAGAGCAAAGTTATGATTAACCAAAATTTCTAAATTTTGGCTTAAATCCACTTGTCTAGCTCTCTATATAAATAAATTAAAACTATGACCTCAGAATGGAGAAAAAATAAGATCAATTCCTCATCTTTGTACAAGTGTTTTGCACTTTGCAAATGTTTTGTTTAATGTAGTTTCTTCTTAAGAAGGAATATGAGGTATTTTTATCTAATCTCTTTTTCCTTTTTTTCATGCAAGAAAGTATGAAAACCAGAAAAATGTTCAAGCTACTGCATGTACTTTTCATGGTACCCAAGTACTTTGTACTTTGCTAGGTACCCAAGCTACATTTTGACATGTATAAAATGCAACAAATTCAGAGAAGGAATGCACCTTAATTTTTCTAGATAGCTTACTCTAGCAGATGGAACATCTCTATAGAAGTCCTACAAAGGAAAGACTGTAGAAATCATTTACATTTTCAGAACTCTGCATGTAACAGAAAAAAAGAATAAGCATTTCTCTTGTGAATTGGTCTGCACATCCAGATGAGTTCTGTTTAAATGCATGTGTTAATTGAACTAATTGAAGATGCACTAGGTAAAAAATAAATAAAAATTATTCTGATGGCTATGTTCACAGATATCAAAATCACTGAATCACTAAGGTTGGAAAGTTACCTCTCAAAATTATAGTCCTAACCCTCTGCTCAATGGTAGTCAGCTGGGGCACATTGTCCAGAGCTTTGTCCAGCTGACTCCCGTATATGTCCAAGATGGAGACTCCACAACCTCTCTGCATGAGCTGTTACTCTGCTCAGCTCCCCTCACAGCAGAACAGTGCTCTCTTTTATTCAGATGAAACTTTGTATATGTGAATTTCTGCCCATTACCTCTTGTCCCTTCACTGGAATTGCCAAAAAGAGACTGCCTCCATCTTCATTCCCTCCCATGAGGGATTCATACATGATAAATTCCTGCTGAGCCTTCTCAGGCAGAAGAGATGGGAAGGATCGTCTCCTCTGGCCTGCTTCTGGCCTTCTTTGCTACAAGGGAGCATTATGGGGTCAGCTTCTTGTCCACTATGACCCAAAGACAATGCATCATGAGCTGACCACAAGCCCCATTCCCTGTCCCTCTGCATCACTGAGGGGTAGGAGGTAGAGAAAATCAAGAGTGAGGCTTAGCCCAGAATAAGGGAGGGGTGGGGTGAAGGTGTTTTAATTCTCATTACGGTACTCTATTTTGTTTGGCAATAAATTGAACTAATCTGCCCAAGTCAAGTCTGTTTTGCTCATGATGGTAACAAGTGATTGATGTCTTCTGGTCCTTGTCTCAACCCATGGGTCTTTGATTATATTTTCTCTCTCCTGTCCAGCTGAGGAAGGGAGAGAAAAAGCAGCATTGGTGGGCACCTGGCATCCAGCCAGGGACAACCCACCAAACCTACTTAAAAGTAAATGGAAATCTTAATTTATTAATGTCTATATTTTCACAAATACACTTATATTCTGCAGTACTACAGAATGGTTGCTTTAATGGGCTTCTCTCTCAAAAATATATGGCCTGAAAAAAAAATCATCAAGAATATGCCTATCTTGATCCACAAACCGATGTAACTCAGATTTCCCCATAATGCAATGAACATCCTTTTCCTAAATAATGAATATGAATATTCCCATGTATTATACATTCATGACCACTGAGAAGCAGAGTGGTCCCTCTGGAATGAGGAATATTGAAATTTTCCCACTGAATGAAGTAACATGTTCATATTGCAGCATTTCATCTCTGTCCCATGGGAACTTGGAACTTCTTAGTGGTCAGTTTGCATTGACTTGATGGAGATTAGAGGTTATGTACTGGATCCTTGCATCTAAATATTCTTAGAACCATTTAAATTAATTATTTACCCCTCTTGTGGCAGAAATTTTCTCAAGCCTATAAAAATAAAGCCTTGTTCATGTTATGAAAAGTGACATTTCTCTAAAACATATGTTCTTTATTTCTGGATCTTCTATAACCTCCTGTAACATAAGCACATAGATATGGAGTATCTTTAAAAAACTATATAGAGTTTCTAGGTAATCTGTTTTATCAATGTTGAAACTAACCTGTACTTATATACTAGAAAAAAAAAAGCACAACACAAACATTCTTCTATTCTTCTATGAATCTACAGTTTGACGTTGTATTCTACTGCTTAGAAGTAGACAGTCACAGCTACATGAAGTGAGTAGTAAGTTTTAGCATATATACTTATTTAATATTTAAAGAATGTTCATTATTGTATCAAGTACCAAACATTCCCAAGTCGACAATATTTCAAAAAAGATCAAGTGGAAGTAAAGCCTTAACAGAACTGTTGTATTTGAATTGAAGCAATTAAAATGTTGAAAACTAAAGTGCTAGAAACATATAATTAGTGTCAAAATGTGTGTGCATTTTTTTTTTACCTCATTAAGAGTGAAAGAAATATACTGATTGTTGTTCTTCTATAAATGAAGAACTTGAAAGGAAATGGCCTATGAAGGAGCTATATGTGCTAGACTGAGTAAAGTCTAACTTAAGTTCATTGACCATAGTTGCGTAAATTAATCTACCTCCAACCTCAACAAAAACTAGCTAAAGGTAGTTAAGCAGCTCTACATTAAAGCCAGCTCAGAGAAGGTTTTCACTCACCCCTCTTGGCTGCAAGATGTTTGGAACAGCATTATCGTTCTTTATCTCTCTGGTAGTTTCAGGCACTTGAGTTTAAGGAAGTAGATGACAGAGAGAGACAGAAAGCACCTGCTCCTTGAATAGGTATCTGTGGAAATGCATAGCCATACTGAAAAATAAATGCTCTTTTCAAAATCTGAGGAAGCGGTGTATTCTCCATCATGCTAAAATTTCTACATCACACATTGTTTGTGCAATATTCATGTGCCCGTGAACACATCAGTGGAGATTTTCAAGATCCAGACTTAAAAAAAAAAAAAAAAGAAAACTGGATCCTCAGAAACAGTTTCTGTCATATGTTGTATATACAGCTTACATGAAGATATGTAAGGCATTAAAAAGACTTCCAGAATATAAGTAACTTTTACGAATAAACTACAAAATTTCTCTAAACAAGCAAGGAAGTACAAATCTCAATAATAATTACAGGAAGATACTGAATGCCAAGCAACATCATACAATGCTACGCAATTAAGATGAAGAGCATCCTCACATCTGTTGAAAGAAATTTGCTTACTTACTAAATGTCATGTAGATTTTTCATATTTTTAGAATAAATACATCATTATGTACTATTTTTAAACAAAATTCTGATTTTTTGACTATTTACTCCAATTGTTCTCTCAATCCTCCTTCCTCAGCCTTCCCTTCACAACCAAAAGAGAAGTACCAAAAATTCCACGAGTTCCTCTGATACTAATTTTCTTAGTTTGTGTTCTGCTTAGTTGAACTTTGTGATATATGAAACAAAACAACATTAGGACCTAAATGGCACTTAGTTTAGAAGCACCTGGATTTCTCAGCATACTAAATAATTCTCCCCCCTGAAATCTAGGCTCCATAAAGCAAATCTGAAGTAACAATTTGAACACTATACAAGAAACGTGATCCAGAGAATCTATTCCAATGCTGTAAAATTCAAAATCCAGCACAGCATCACCAAGGGCAAGTCCTGCCTGACCAGTCCAGTGGCTTTCTATGACAGTGACTACATCCATGGACTAGGGAAGAGTGACAGGTGCCATTTATCTGAACTTCTGCAAAGCATTTCACATGGTCCCTCACAACATCTCTCTCCCTAAACTAAAGGGAGATTGGCTGGATGGATTGACTTTTAGATGGAGACAGAAGTGGTTGGATAGCCATGTCAATGTGTCAATGGCTCAGAGTCAATGACAACAGTGACAAATGGTGTCCCTCAGCCATCTGTACTGAGACCAATATTAGTTGATATCTTCATTAATGACATAGACAAAGGGATCAAGCACATCCCCAGAAAATCTGAAGACAGGAAGCTGAGGGGTATGGTTGTCACTCCTAGGTAGGATGGGATGCCATCCAGAGGAACTAGGACAAGCTTATAGGTATCTCATGTGATTTAAACAGACCAAGTTCAAGGTGCTGCACCTGGGTCAGTGCAACTCCCGGTATCAACACAAGTTGGGGACTGAGCAGATGGAGAGCAGCCCTTCCCAGAAGGACTCAGGAGTGCTGGTGGATGAGATGCTGGACATGACCCAGCAACGTGCACTCACAGCCCAGAGAGCCAAATGTGTCCTGGGCTGTATCCAAAGCAGCGTGGGCAGCAGGGGAGGGAGGGGATTCTGCCCCTCTGCTCTGCTGAGACCCCACCTGCAGTGCTGCATCCAGCTCTGGGGACCCCAGCATAGAAAGGACATAGACCTATTGGGGCAAGTCCAGAGGAGGCCACCTAGTTGTTTAGCAGGATGAAGCACTTTGTGAATTCCAAGCACAGAAATCTCTCAAAATCTTGTGAATGCAAGCACAAGGTTTGACCTGCAGCCTTGGAAAATACTTCCAGATTTAAAACCATAAGCAAGAATGTGGGTTGCTAGTTTAGATAGAAAAGACATTAATTAGGTTGTAGAAAGTTTCAAGGTTTTAAAGTTAAGAAATAGGAACAGTTGTAAAGGTAATAAGAAACTTAAGATATAACAAGAAGTCTTGTGTGTCATTATATGATTGGTTAAGAATGTCTGCACTGCAGCAAAGATGCATAAAACAAAATAATTAACTATTGGTGTGAAAGCAGAAACATGCTTTTGTGGCATTAGTTTATTGGCTAATTAACTTTAAAGACAGTCTTGTGATCAGTGACCAAGAACATCTGGTGAATATGGTGAGGATGATCACACTCCTTCTTGAGACTGTAGAAGAATAATAATATATCATGCTTTAAGATGTCTCCCAGTGGTCATATCTCTCGCAAAATCCCAATAAAGCACCTGTCCTACAAGGAAAGACAGAATTTGGTTCAGCCTGAAGAAGAGAAGGCTTTGAGTTGACTGAATTGCAGCCTTCCAGTGTCTAAAGGAATCTTACAAGAAAGATGAAGAGGCACCGCTTACAAGAGCATGTAGTGACAGGACAAAGGGGAATGCTTTCAAGTTTGAAGAGAGTATGTTTAGATTAGATATTGGGAAAAAATTCTTTACTCTGAATGGGGAGACACTTGAACAGGTTGCCCAGAGAAGTTGTGATGCCTCATGCCTGGAATCACAGGGTAGTGGCAAAGATGTCTACCATTGCTCATTGTCTTGGGGTCCATGGTGAGCATTTCTGCATGTGAATTATCCTCTTTCATATACTTTTTGTTATTAATATTGTGGCTATTACTGCTCCTTTCCTTATGCCACTGCTGTTTCCAGTAAAGCGTTCTTCTCTCAACCTGTAATCTTCACCTTTTGTGCCTCCAATTCTCAACTACATCCCACTGAAGTGAGGAGAAGGGGAAGGCAGGGGTGAGGTGGTATGAGAGAGCAGGATGTGGTTCAGGACATTCTCAGTGGGAGCACTGGATTTAGGGGTGACATTCCTAAAACACAACATGTATGTAGATGCACTGAAGTGCAGATCAGATAGCTTCACATGGGAGATGTTCTTCAGCAACTGCCTGGAATTAAGTCAAAACCTTTAGTATCATACACAGAAGTGGGCACAAAAAGAAATGGAAAAAAACTTGTTAAAGTTGGAGGCAGAATACCAGTCCCTCTCTCAAGTGCTACCTCACTGAGACAATTAAGTCAGGGAACTTATTTACCTAATATAGCAAACAAGGTGACATAAGAAATTGATGGACATAAATGGATAACATCAAGCTGCTTACATGTTCCTGAAAGCACATTAAGAGATAGATGGCTTTAACAGATAGTTGAACAGGAAGTTGTACAAGGAATGCCCAAAATTCAGTTGCTAATAGAGGGGAAAGAAGGATATCTTTTGGGAGACAGCTCTTCCAAGATCAGCAGTGCCCAAATAACCCCATTAATAATGCCAGTCTTATGAGCTAAGTGAAAATACACATGTGCACATGTGTGTTCCATGAGCACACATTAAACCAAATTAGCTAAAGAGAAGAATCAGGGGAGACCAGTAGACTTGTTCATGTTTTCTGTGCATGTCCCCCAAAATGTTTTTTCCCTGTCTGTTTTAAAATCTTTACAAAAAATTGTGGAGGTATTGTGTGGGTGCACCAACATGAAGCACATTATTTGCCTTACAGGATCTGGAAACCACAGACAAAAAGGGGAGGAATACCCTCAGGTCCTGAAGCCAACGTATTTGGCTACTCTTAGCAATTTATATGGAGATTTGAGAGTGACAGAAAGAAAATTGTTTTCTGTTTGAAAGAGGAAAGAAGAATGTCAATAATAAACAGATGCCTGAAGTTCTTGGTTTATCAAATGACCTTTCCAACCAGTTATTGCTTACTCTTATGATGCCACTTTCACAAAAAGGTACTGCTCACCACTAAGTGATTTATGTCAATAAAAAGTCAAAATTATCATCTTTTATGGCACATGTTATTGGCACACATACTTGAATAAAGTTCTACTTTGTTTTCCTACAATACTTTTATGAGAAGATTCATGCTGTTACATTACTTTGGGAAAATCTAATTTGCAAAAGCATCTGCAGTCATGTTTTTACAAGTGCATGCCCAATGCCCTCCCCTTGGACAGCACAGATCTGACAAAAGGAAAAGGCAAGAATCTGATGAAATCTATTTGTCACTAAACCAAATAACCTTCCTTATATATAATAGGAAAGATTTATTAGTATGAGCCAATAACTGCACATTGCTGGAAGCAAACCTCATGGTTTCTAAAAATAAATGCAGCATGTTGATGATACTCCTTGATAATCCATTTCTTTTATCCAAGAAAGAAAAAACTTTCATTTCCAGAGGCATTGGGTTTTTAAGTATTTAAGATCTGGGCAATCACATCTTTTGAAATCTGACACACTTCTCTTCAGAAGTCCCTCAAAGAGACTAAATTTAACAGTCAATCTTTTGCAGGGATTAGGAAATTACAGAACGGTAAGGGAAATGTCAACACACTTTGCTTTCTTGGCTCCAGACATTGTCAAGATACAAAGTATAAGCTGAGTCCTTATGCTTTCAAGAATTCAGTGAACTGAAATATCTAACAAGATCTTCTCAACTACTGGTGGAACAGTTATAAATTTCCAGAGACATTTTGGTCATATAACCACAGTGTTGTTCTGGTCCTTAAGAAACAGTGGGCTTCAGCATATTTGTATATTAGATATCCACCCCTGTGTTCTGTTCCTCTCTCTCATCATGCCTTTTCCCAGCTTCCAAAACAAATAGGCTAAAACAAACCACATTTAAATAAATAATTCTGGTCTATTACAAAAGAGGAAACAAATTCCTCCAAACTCAAAAACTGAGTTGTCCCATTAAGCAGAGAAAACTTACTCCATTCTTTTTGAGATGGCAGAGTTCCATTGGATTTGTTTAAACACTTAAGACGTAAAATAGTGAATTTAAAGACTGAATACACCTGTACTTTCTGTTTGCCTACACACAGAATACCTGCAATACAGAAAAACCATTGTTCAAACAGCCTAAATCAGCATGACACAGCCCTCAGGAGAGCTACCTGGTAGAATTATTTCCATACTCCTCAGAATAATGTCTCAGGAGAAAAAAGTGATCAAATACAGTCAGTTACAGTTATTTACAAGGCTGCCTTGAATATTCTTTAAAGGGTTTGTAGATGCAGCTGTGGCACTGGAGAGAGTACTTAAAAAAAAATCATACAAGTAGTTACAGAATACAAGTTATATACTTTTGAACACAGAGCTAATAAATTCAAAAATACAAAAATTAATATTACCCAAGGAGTTGTTCAGTTTAGTTCAGAAACATCACTCAAATGGCAGTACTGGTACTGAAACAGGTGTCCCAGAGAAGCCATGGAAAAAATTCAAGGAAAGCCTTCAGAGAAGGCTGTAGTTTCTGTGTTTGCCAGGCACTCATTAAACTTTAAAATTTGTAAGTTAAAATGCACCCTAAAAAGCATTCCACTTTGACAGCTAAATTTAAAATGCTCAATACAAAACATACCAAAGAGAACAAGTCCTGTTCTTGGGCTGTGCAGAATGAAAAATACTCCCAGAATTTTTGTTCACTTCTCCTGGATGACAGTAAATCATCTAGTGTGAGATTTTCTTTCTGAACTGAGCTTAAAACTGTACTTGCGGGGGTAGCAGTGATGCTCTGCAGCCCCTACTGCATATCAGGGCAAGACACTGAGACAGCCAGTGGGACTCAGTTGAGATGGAACAGCAAATTAAACCCTTTGTAAATGTTCTGACATGAATTTTATCCTGGGTTCCCAGCTTCACCCTAATCTGGACTCTGGCCTGCTTTACAGTGGGGGGTAACACATCTGTTTGGAACAATTATATCCTGCAGAGAAAAAGAAGAAATCTTTCTTTTGTCAAATTCTCTCATGATCATAAGAGTTCACTTACTGCCACTGACAAGGGGATACAATTTATTTGCTGTGCCTGTCACAGCTTGTGTTGGAACAGTCAATTATTACCTTGAGGAGAGATATTTTCCAACACTATACTAATACCAAAACTGCAGGGTGACAGAGAACAGTGTTTCCCACGGACAACTCTGCAACAAGCTTTCCCCAGAGAAAGGCAGAAATTTCTTCCTCTCTATTGTAATGGCATTTGCTCTCCCTAGCATGGGCTCACTTATTCCTTATGGACCCCAGCTCTCAGATACAAACAAAATTAATAAGGGAGAAATACTCTACTCTCCGTTTCTAAGAGCAGAGTTACCAGTCCAAATGACTTTTGATGCTTTGGAAGACTGTTCAAGATGGCAAACTGTATGTTAAAAAAGGATTCAGAATCATGTCTATGGGTTGAAATATTTAAGGTGAGAGGAGAACATTGTAAACAGCGAAAGAAGAAGCTTTTTGAAACCTTCAAAGTCTAACACACTCACAGATTCCATTCTCTAAATGTATTCAATGATGGACTAGTGCAAAGATACCAAGACACTCAGATCATAGGCTGAAAAATGTTACAGCACATCTGAATAAGCCTTCTTGAAATTTCTGTGTTACACTGGAGTGTTTAACTGAGACTTTTGGCAGCTCTGGTGTATAAGCAGCTGCTGTTCTAAAAAAAAAAATAAAAATCCATGGACACAAAAGAATAGGGAAGTGTTGGTGAATGAAAAAAAAAATATTGCCTGGATGCATTGCCAGAAATACATTTTATAAGTAAACAGCCACTTTCACTTAAGATCTTTCAATACGTGTCCTTGCAGAAGACCACTAAGTTACAGCTGTTTGGAAGAGTCAATGCAAACCATCCAACAAAGCTATGGACCTTGGAACAGAGTTCCAAGCAACAAAACATTGCCTGGCATTTTTATTGTGTAATTCACAGAGCTGTTTATTTGTTGTTATTTAGGAGCACTGTAGTAGCAAGCTGTGTAAAAACAACACTTGGAAATCCCAAAAGTCTTACGAATTTTCAGAATGAATGTTTGTTCATTCTCATTAGTAAGACAGTGTAGCATTCCTCTTTTCTGCAAAAGACAAAAGGACAGTATAACAAAAATAGCACAGAGATTCACAAAAAAATATCCCCAACACTAACTAAACCAAAGCCTGATAGTAAATTGTGCAGATGATGTTGGAGATACCTACCAGTAACTGTGCACACCGAAATCAAGGCATAGCCATCAGAAAGACTGTCTGTATCATGACATAGCATTATTCACTGAATAAAATGACTGAATTCACCTCGATCTGTCTTCACAAAACACAGAAACAGTGATCAGTTGTAAAATGCAATACAAGCCAGTCCTTTAAAGTACCTTCTCAGCTAAACTATAGAGAAGATAAAGAGCACACCCTGCAAACGACTTGGAAATACACACAAAAGATAATAATTTAACTGGTTTAAGGGGGTACAGCCTAGGCAGTAAACATCAAACAAACAAAACCCCCCAACTTTAAATGCAAATGCTGCATATTCAATGACAAGTACATCTCAAAGGAACAGTGACTCAAGACAGTGCTTCTAATTAACCCTCAAGTGTTTTACAGCTTTAAAGTCTTACGTCTTTTAGATTAAAGTCCTAAGACACAAACTATGGGAACTGAATTACCTGGGATAGATCATACCCTGGACAGGGGTCCTGGCACAGAAGGAATAAACCTGAAGCCTTGGGAGGCAGGGTGCTGGGGAGATGCTGATGGAGTCATTCTATAACAGGTCATGTCCCTGATCCGCATTAGTGATTGGACCTCTGCCCTCAGATACCCCTTTACATTGTGAAGCTCACCATACCCCTGGGTCTTTGGAAGCAGCCCCTGGGACCATGAGGTCTCTGTGTACACTAAAATCTATCTTGGGCATGCCACCGTACCTGTCCCTCTATTGGCCATGCTGCCTGGCTGGACCAGTCCTGGGTCACAGCGAGCCGACTGCAACAAGTGGTGCCCTAACAGGGACCCCCAAATTGGGGGACCTCTAGGGATCGGTTAGGCTGGGTCTTCTCTTTGCTGTGGATTATATTGTCAGGCCTGACATTTTTCAGAAACAGCCAGCCATCTCAGAGAACACCTGCTAAAAACAGAGGTGAGCAGAGAGGGAGAGAGCTTCTCCCATTGCCCCTACCTCAACAGGATGCTGTACAACCCATCCAAGTTTGCTGCTTTGTAGGATGGGATTAAGACTCTTCTCATAAGAAAGGGATGTATATGGACAATTTAAAGAACTTTGAGCAGACCATGGGAAAGTGGTTAAAGAACGCAAGCTGAAAATTCTATTGAAATGGGCCTTACAAAATTTCTCAGCCGCTTTAAACCCAAGTGGAGCTGCTCATTTGCTGCCCCGACCACCCAGTGCCACCCCCGCTCCCCCAGCAGCCACTGCCGAAGCGCCAGTCAGTGCCATTCCACGCCACAGGAGACCACTAAATCTGCGATATCTTTTCTATGTTTTTTTGGGACTCACTGGCGGTGAAGTTTTATGATTTAACAACTAGATTAACAACTGCAGCACCCCAAATGCTCTCCACTTTCTGAGTGATAATGGAAGCACTAAAACTCAAGAAGTACCGCTGCCACCACCATATCCCCGTGTGGGCCCCCCATCCTGGGGTCAACAGCCAAGCCAGCGTGGGACACACTCGGGGCTTCTCTCCCTGCCTCATATCGCGACCCCAGCTCAGCGACCACCTCCAGACCTGAGACTGTCTCCTACCCCTCTGAGCCTGGGAGCGAGACACAAGATCGGAGTCTGTTGGAAGCACAGGAGCATGTACAAATTCCAAGTCCTGCCATTTTGTGTCCTCCCCCTTCTCACACTTCAGACTACTCTGGAGTGCTGTATGGAGCCGGAAAGGCCTCTGCGTCCCTAGGAAACACCAGTTCACCCTGTTATTTCACCACCCCGTATTCACCTTCGCCTCCACGTGGGTCTAAAGATTGCGGTGGCCGAGATGTGACCCGCAGCCAGCCCCCCTGCCCTCTCCCAGCACGCCTGTTGGGCCATCCCCTGTATTCAGCTGAGACGAAGCCAGCAAGGGATCCTGCTCCACAGGGCACTCCAGCCACAACATTTCCTCACCCAGCCCCACCTCCGGCTCCCCCCATCCCGCCCTGGGTGCTGCCCCTATTATACCCCTGCCTGCCCCGTTCTTCCCGCCAGGGTGGGCTGCACAGGGCCTGCCCTGCCCCCTGTCCCGGCTCTTCGGCCTCGGGACCACCCCTCCAGGGAGGACTGGAAGTACGCCCACCACGCTCCCGGAAGCCTTGCTATCCAGCATGCTGCCCATGCAGCTGCACCGGGACCGGGGCACCCGGTGGGAGGCGGCGACCGTCTCCCGCCTTTCGGTGGCACAACTTCGCAGTCACGGGGCGGTGCCACTGCCGCTGGGGGACAGCGCAGCCCCGATCCGCACCGCTGCCATGGCCCCCGGTGCCGGGCAGTTCTCCGACAGCTACCGAAAATCCTATTTCCCTGTCCTGCAGCAGTGGGGTGGGGAGCCCACAGCACAGGCAGGTCACTTTTAAATAGGGCCGAGCAGGGCCGCACTCCCGCTGTGGTTCAGGCCTCGCACTGTCTCCGATGAGCCCCGTTGCCTGGCAACCGCCTTCGCCCACCATGGCCACTCACTAGCAGTGCAAGAGCCCGGGGTGACTGCTGCGGAATTGAAAAATATTAAAAAAAAATAACCTCTTTGCTAAAATTCTCTAACTTGGGTCGTGACAAAAGGTTCTGGCATTGGTTTCTGTTATAATTTGCAGTGCTAAAGCATTTCCTTTTCAAATGTCCATTGAATTACAGTATAATACTGCGTAATATTTAAGGATCTTGATTTAACTTGATAATTTTTCCTGTATAAAATGCACAGCAATTTTCCAGATTGTTTTTACCCTCAAAAGAAAGAGAAATATTAAGGTCTTATTATACTCTTCCACAAGTCTTACAGTTTCAGTTATGGGATTTCCAAATCTACTGATTTGGTTTAGTAGAGAAACTGTGCAGTTAAATAACAGCTTGCAAGTTTACAAGTTGGTTAATATTTATAGTTATTGTTATAATGTTAGCATTGTAACCATGTTTGTTATGTTTATTCTGTTCAGTTTCATGTAGATGATTGTTCTGTTTTAAAGAAAACAAGCAAAAGGGGATTCTTGGTTAAAATTCTCCTAGGCAGCTGATGCTGCCTTCAGCAGCAAATTAAAATTCACCTGAGGCAAGAGATGCTTTGGGAAAAGTATCCCAAGCCATTCAAACTCACCAAGCACACAGAATGAATCCAAATTAATCATTCCTTTTAGCTGTTTTGGGGAAGGAACCTCAGCTCCATGCCTTAATTTTTTAATGGGACCCTGAGACATCTGATCTTTTGTTAATTCTAGAATGGGTTTTCCTGCCCCACCTTCCAGGAAAAAACATAACAACAGAGATGATTGCTCAGCTTATTATCAGAGCCAGATCATGCTTATTTTCCTTCACAGGGAAAGATTTCTCTACTGTATTTTTGCCCACAACTACTGCATATTTGGATTGGCTATTGCAGCAATCAGAATGCCTGCAAATTGCTCTTGAAAATTTTACTGGGCAGATTTCAATTCATTACCCTAAGCATGAGTTACTGCATTCTGCCCTTAACAGAACTCCAAAACCACTAAGAAGTATTCTGCCACTAGATGCACTCACTGTCTTTACAGATGGTTCAGGGAGGTCCCCTAAATCTGTTGTAACTTGACAAAACCCTATAACACATGAGTGACAATCTGACATCCAAATAATAGAAGTTTACATGTCCTTTGAATTTAGTTGCTGATTCTGCTTATGTTGCAGGCATCGAGAGAGACAAAAATTCATTTCTAAAGACAATTGCTAATGACCAGTTATATACTCCTTGCTTAAAAATCTAATTTTTATTCTTTCTCAGGGACAAGATCCCTATTTTGTCTTGCATATCCACTTTAATACCTCTTTGCCTGGAGCTCTGACAGAAGGTAGTGAGCAAGCTGATACACTAGCCATGACAACACAGGTAAGTAACACTGCCTAACATTTTTGAGAAGGCAAAACCCAGCCTCTCATTCCTTCACTAGAATGCTCTTGCATTACATCATGTGTCTAAAATCACTAGAGATCAAGCCAAGGCAATTGGTACCACATGCCCAGATTGCCAGAAATATTCACTACCTTCTATAGGAGCAGGAGTAAAACCCCAGAGGGCTTCACAGTTTACAAATATGGCAAATATGATGTAACCCACTATGTATCTTTTGGCAGATTGAAATATTTACATATATCAACTGACACTTTTTCAGGGGCAAGTTTTGCTCCTGCACATGTGGGTGAAGCAGCTAGAAAGGTCATCAAACACCACCTTCTCCAGGCATTCACAACACTAGGCATTCCACAGGAAATAAAAACAGATTACATCTCACACAAATTACAACAGTCCTTTACTTTGTGGGGAATAAAAAATTCTACAGGCATTCCCTGCTCCCCCACAGGACAATGAATTGTTGAAAGAGCCCACAGGTCTCTCAAAGGAATTCTAGAACAACAGAAGGGTGGAATAGAGAACCTGTCTACTGTAGAAAGGCTCAGTAAATCTAGATATGTTTTCAATTTTCTGAACAACTCTTTCATGGAGTCTAATTATTAGACATTCTTTCAATACAATACAAGCACAGTTAAAAGAGAGACCATCAGTTCTAATCAGAGATTTAGAAACTAGCAAAATCTTAGGGCCTTTTCCACTAATTACCTGGGGAAAAGGGATTTTGCTTGTGTCTCTACAGATAAAAGAACTTCCTAGGTTGCAGCAAAAAATACCTGCAGCCTCTACAGAAACACCAAGAAGCTCAGCAGGAGGAACCCTGAGAAGAACCTTCTGGAAGGATACCTTGAGGCTTGCAGATAGCCTTCTTTTGCCTCTTAGCCACTGCTGATTAATCATTATTAATTTTTAAGTCCTATCCGTTGGTTATTCCACCAAACATGACTTCTAAAGTCTGGCTTGCTGTACCCACCTGGTCCAGTGATTCCCCACTACAGTTACCATCTGGGACGTTTCTCATTTGTGGGGACACAGCATGGCCTGGAATTCCATCATACGTTAAAGGAGGACCATGTAGCTTGGGGAGGCTTACTGTGCTAGCATCTGAGATTGCCTTAATTAATGACTGAAAATTAGGTGTAAGACTTTTGTGCATCAATTTGGATCCAATTGCAAAGATGAGATTAACTTTAGGAGTAAAGGACAGAGAATAGCAGCCTCAATATTGGCACCTGGGGTTGCTGGAGCAAAAACTTTAAAAACTTTGGATGATTTAGGGTGCTGGCTGAGTAGTCAAACCAATGTTATGTCCTGGGAGCTGACTGAGCTATTGACAGATGCTGTTAGCATCAGGAATGCCTGCAAAATAGATCAGCAATAGACTTGCTGCTATTAGCCCAAGGACATGGTCGTGAGGATTTGGGAGGCATGTGCTGCATGAAGTTTTCAAACCACAGTGAGTCCATACACAGAAGTATCCAGAAAAGATGACAGGGACTGGTTTAATTGACTATTCAGAAAATGGAACTTGTGGACTCTATTTTCAGTTTCCTGATTTTTATAGTTGTTGTTGCTCTGTTTATGTTGCTGCCCTTTTTTTTTTAAGTTAAGGGTTTTTCAGAAATCTTTACTGAAGGTCTTTTAATTTGAAGAGTAGGGGCAGATGTGGGAACTGACTTACCTGGGATAGATAATACCCTGGGCAGGGGTCCTGGCACAGAAGGAATTAACCGGAAGCCTTGGGAGGCAGGGTGCTAGGGGGATGCTGATGGAGTCATTCCATAATAGGTCATGTCCCTGATTTGCATTAGTGATTGGACCCCTGCCCTCAGATACCCCTTTACATTGTGAAGCTCACCATACCCCTGGGTCTTTGGAAGCAGCCCCTGGGACCATGCAGTCTCTGTGAACATTAAAATCTATCTTGGGCACTCCATTGTACCTGTCCCTTTATTTTCCACACCACCCAGCCAGACCAGTCCCAGGTCACAGCGAGCCGACTGCGACAACAAACTGTTCTTTCTAGTAAGAAAACAGGACAAGATTTGTTCTTTGGAAGCAGTAGAGAAGAGTAATAAGATACTGAAGTGCTAGTCAATTATTTCATACTGCATTCAGAAGGCAAGAAACATATCCAAGCTTTTCATAGAGCCACCTTACTGAAATACTGCATTTTCCTCCTACAAAAGTCAAACAAATAATGGCACATAATAATAATGTGGCAAACAGGAAGAAGAAAAGGAAGATTTTTGTTTAAGTAATTTTGCCAATTAAGTGAAACATCTCCAGCAGTTATACCTATGAATACAACTGAGTCTGAAAAGAGGTAAAATTCACAAACACTATCTACAAATTACTTACATTATCTCTCTGGTTTACCCACATAACCTTATTCATAAGTTTTGATCCTTCCCAAAAGGGTAGTAAGATCATGACTGGAATAACAGGTAAACCACTACTGCTGCCTCAAATCTCAAAGCTGCAACACACATTGAATTAATTTTAAAGCCTCAATAATATTCTGATTTTTATCTTTCATGTTCATTTGCTTTCTCTTAAAAGCTGATCAGCCATACATTACTTGTATTTTCCTAAGACCACTGGTCATGTACTGACAGAGAACTGTAAATCACAAGCACAAGGATGTGCTTTCACAACACTCCTTCCCCCTTAAACACTTCCCAGCTTACAGCCATTTGGGGTTAATATAGAGTTATACACAAAAAAACTGCTTTCAGACTCATCAACTTGATCATCCTTGTAAAAAAAACCAAAATACATAAGGGATCACAAATTAGGAGAAGCTGAAAACCACAGTTCCACATGTTACAAAAAGCTTAGCTACAGAGGTGGCAGTTAAATATAAACTTTATTAGATTGGCTTATTATTCCCCCTCTCCTTTCTGATTCAAGCTATTATTTCAATGACAATTTTTCAAGTTGGGTTTGTTAAGTGTTCACATATCATCCTGCCAGTAAATTAGCATAAATGGAAGACATCACCAATATACTGTAGCAATAAGTAAGGGAACTTCAGATAGTCTTTTTAACTACTGAAGAATGAGCTTAGCTCTCTTCCCCCCCCCAATAAAGTTACAATATGATCCACTTCAAAAGAAATACAGTAGGACATCAGAGGGTTTCTTATGCTTGATCATAATCTGACCAATAAATACAATCTACTTTAATCATTCAGGAATGGCTCTGTCCAAGCATATTCACACACTGGAAATAATCTTTTTCTTCTCAAAATCTTTCCCACCAACCTGACACTTTTAACACACCAATGATCACTACTGCTTGGATTTCATATTTGAAAAATTGATCTCTCAGCAAGACATAGGTACACTAAAAAGAGAAGAATAATGAGTTATTGATCCCATGAAACAGGACCAACAATTTGAGCAGTAACACTCAATTTGGCGAATGAGAACTCAGAAACTGAGAATGCACAGAAGCAAGTTTGAGAAAAAAATTGTTGAGATAAGTGGTATTAAATTTTTCTTGCTTTTCCTTTTATTTTAAAAAATGAACAAAAAAACTCATCAGAACTGATCAAGTATCCATTTTCTTACATTTAGACACAATAGAATGAAACAATAAAAGGATTTTTTCCTTCTGATTGGAAAACATTGTGTCCATTTTACATCTCCCATTGAAAATTTACTTCTTCCTTCACTTACAATTTTAAGTTACAAATAGTTCAGAGGACCAGCTAAACTTCACCATTAGTCCATTTATTGTGAACCCCTTTGTCCAAATCTGTTCCAAGGACCGCTATTATTGATTCACTTGCAGTATTAAGGACTTCTGAAAAGTAGCAAATTACATTGCTGTTGCAATGGTGGTGCACCCAGAGTTTATATAACCACTAAAGAAGTTATAATTCTTTGTCTAAAAAATAACCTGCTAGAGCTGGACAACATGGTCCATAACCTTTCCAGGACTTTCCTCGTAAGAAGGCTGGCTAAGACTGCAAGCACTGATGCATTTTTAGTTAACCAGGAAGACTAATGGAATCAATATATCACAGATATGTGGCAAAGACAGCATAAGTACCCGTAACACAGAAAGCAATAATAATAAGAAAAGACTAGGTCACACTTAAAATTTTAGAAGATGACTGTTACTTGCTTAATTCCCTTTAAGAACAGCCGACACTACCACATGCAATCTTTAAAGAATATGTTTGCTTACAGTTTAGTTCAATTCTTTTGAAGAGTCCACCATGTTCCTAGCATATATGCAAGAAATAGTATTTATAACAAAGATTTAATATTGACAAGGGCAAGCATGACATTCAGTTCTAATATAGCAACATTTGCAGCAATTCAGGCTGCTGAGTAAGAAATTCAATTCTTTATATCACATCTATTTCATAAACATTCCTCACTTCATTTAGTCATACTATTTCTTTTCTTTACCTGGAAAAAAATGCTGAAATTTAAGTAAATGTGTTTTGCCATGCCTCAGCAGTTACCTCTGTCAGCAAGCATAAATCCTCCTACTACACACCAGAATTGGATATTCCAAAAACAAGGTTTCTCAAGCAGAAAAGTGACATTTCCAGGCTAAGCCTTCAAAACTTTTACTACACAAGTTATAAAGTTATGGAAGTAGAATTTCAACCTTTGGATTTCCTAGAGGAAAACTCACTGCATCATGAGAAGCAGATAGAATAGGAAAGGATGGGGTAAACTAGTAGCCAGGTAATGCCTATGAGTTCTGCCCATCTCTACAGCCAGCTGGACTCTGAAGATGCTGCCAAACAACTTCAAACAGAATGGGGAGTAGCAACATCACCACCTCATTTCAGCCATACCAATGTGCTTCGGGAGACAAAGCACAGGGCTCGCGTTGTTCTGAGCCAAAACTCAGTTCTGTCTCTTGTGCCAAAAACAACAGCAAGGAATGTCATCGCAATCTTCCTACAGACCTCAGATCCATCCCTCAAGCAAATGTCATGACAAGGTTTACAGTTTTCCAGGTGGCAGCCACAAATCTGAGGAACATGCACATATGTGTATGCCATATTCTTACGCCTTATTTTTCATACTCACAGTGGATGAGATTTGTCACGTTCTTTCCCTTCCCAGGTACTATCAAATACATCAAAAGTTACTTCTGCACCTTAGAATGAACCCAACCAGAAGGTGCTCACACACTTACACAAAAATCTGATTATAGCATGGGGGTTCTGTGGGATTTTTTTCCCCACACGGCTGAAATACATTCAGGCTCCCAAAAGTTGAAAGCAGGGCTTAGTACAGATGGGGAAAAAGGCAAGAAAAACAATCATCATCTGGTCTTAATAAAATGCCTGTTTTACGTTTTCAGTGCAGCTATTCTGAAGACACAAAGATTAGCAGATCAAAGATTAAGTGATTTCTAATAAAAAATTGCAGGCTGCCTACTAAGCATCTTCCAGAACTAGCAACAGCAGTAGCTGGAACACTTAATGTTTAGCCTGCTATTTATAGATGGTTAGTTACAAGCTACATTCTACAACTAACTTCATCCTACAAATTTCAGAGTTGGCCCCTCTCTAGTATGTTTTAACTACAGATTCACATGCCTCCTTTTTCAAATCATTAAAAAGGACCCATTTTCAAACAAGACCTCAAACAAGTAAGGTTAGGTACTCAGTTCCTTTGATAGAAACATGATTTAGTGCCTAAGGCCTTTCGATGAAGGTCCAAGAAAAGATCAGATGACAAAAAGGCTACCACGATAATCCTGATGGCATCCACAGAAGTCTCTTCTAAAAACATAAAATGATCTTTAAATCATTAGCTTTCTAGCCACTAGGGAATGTGTACACACTAGAAAGTAAGCTACCTAGATGTAAGTAATAGTACCACTTTCAGAAGGTAATACAATGTCATAGCATAGTTCCCACAGTCATCCAATATA